ACTGAATATCATAGCAAAAAAGTTGGGGAATGAACATAAAAAATAGAATACTATAGTTTCAATATTGTTAGAGTAAGTTGCTATAAAACCAAAAATTTTACATCTTATTTATAGCAAAAATATGTCCATTTCTACAAAATCTAAATTTCAAATTCAAATTTGAAATTTGAACATGATGTAACTTGTGCCTATAAAAAAGACAGAAGGCAACAGGCAACCATAGCTACTTGCAATGTGGGACACCCACGGCTGCTTTTAGAGGCAGCATGCGTTTTTTTATTTAAACGTGTTTTTTCATCAAATAGCGCGGGCTGGCTCGACATGAGTCAGCTCGGGCATCAGCCCAAAATGAGGCTCAGCTCGATTTTTTGGGGCTGCGAGATGAGTTAGCTCGGGCTTTTTCCGAGTCGAGTCACGAGCTGCTTGAGCCGACGAGTAAAATTGACAACCCTAATTGCAAATCGTACAATTAATTGATCGTAATTACTATTCTTGTCACCCTACCTCACTCCAACCCCACTGGTGCTAGCAACCATCTCGACGAAAAAGGGGAGGCTCAGAAGGAACGTGCTCATCGAACCACCGTGCACACTGTAGTGTCTCCACGTCCATCTCACCACATCCCTTACCTCTAAATCTATAGCCGTAGAACTTCCAGGTTACTATATCGCACAGCCAAACAACCTCTACAGCATCAGCACCAAACTCCGTCGACCTGTTCAAGACCCAATTCAGACAGCATCGGTGATGCTTTCACTCATCTCCTTTACAACCTCCCTTGTGATCTTTCCCTCTCTCTCCCAACCCGCAGCCGCTCTTTCCACTCTCCATGACAACTTCTAGGGATGTCAATGAGTCGAATCGAGTCAGCTCGTCAGCCAACTTAAGGCTCGGGCTCAACTCGAGTAAAATTAAGTTCGACTTTTTTGGTTGAGTCGAGCCGAGCCAAAGCTCAGCCAAAAAATAGAGGCTCGATCCAAACTTTCAGCTCGATAAATCCACTTTTTTTCTTGCCTTTGCACTGCATATTTAAAGGCAGTTGTCCCTTTTTTTTCACGAGTTGGCGCCACGTCCCAAAATGGGGATTGACCCAAGCCTCGAACCTGGTAGACTCGGACCTTTTTTCTGGCCAAGCCACAGACGACCTGAGTCGACGAATCAAATTGCTATCCCTAACAACTTCTATCATCACTCCTCTAGATCTTCACAATGAGATCGATGAAGAATAGACGAAGACACCTCATACTGGCTCTGTTCAGGAGAAATCTTGGAGTATGTCCCGAGATTTGGGGTAGGGGCGTGGGTGGGTGTGTCTATGTGAATATTCAGAGTCGTTTTGGAGTTGGAGTGGGGTAGAATGTAGTGGATATACCTAATATTTGAAGAAAAAAGATAATTACTACCAGATTAATGAAATTGAAACTTTAAGAAGTAGGATTTGAAGTAATTTTTCTAATAATTAATCCAACAACTTTGGGATAATAGTGTGTTTTATTATTTTCACCTGCAGTCATCAACTAATTTGAACATTGTACACTACAAATGTGCCAAATGTTTAATCTTTGTGGTCCTGTCTTGTTCCCGCGACTGAATAAGCATTCACCCTCAAAATAAGCAAATTTATTAATTTACTTAAAAAAATTATTTGCAAGTGAGGTTTTTTGATAAAAGAGCTCATATTTAATTGAATAATAAATTGGTAAGTATATATGTACTACATTTTTTATTAATCATATACTATATTTAGTCACAACTAAGGTCCCCAATTTTCGCTTGTTTCGATCCTTATGTCTCTAACTTATTTCATCGCATTTTTATCCTTAAAAAAAGTTAAGAGCATAAATGTGAAAATTAACAAAAGTTATAATGTAGTTAACAAAAACTGTGGTAATATAATTAACTATAACAAATATAATTTATAGTTTTTTCTCTGAAAATTATAAATTGGTCAAACTTCGTTTTTAACCACGCATTTCACTGGATTCAGAATTTTTGTCTACTTTTGACCACACATTTCATAAGATCTACAATTTATAATCTCAAAAAACTTCACGGGACTTGTTCACATGTCTCTCTTTCTTAATCACATCAAACCCAATATAACGTTATTCGTGTCTTGAATATGTCCATACAATGTACCATTAAAGAGGCTATCCAACTATTTTCCTGGTAAGATGTCACTGAATATTAAATTTACAACCCATACATTTAAAAATTTCGGTTGAGACAGACATGATATCGTGTTATTAATTTTGAAATTTTCCCATCTATAGTTTTATGTTTATTTTGAGAATTATTAAAGTTATTTAACTTTATTTCAGTCAGCAAGAAATAATATTAATAATATGAGTTTCCTATATGATACTTAGAAAATTATTAAAGTTAATTAGTGGAATTTTTTTATTTTTTATTTTTTGAGTTGTGAGAGTACTTTTGAAAGTTAATTATTCTTGAATAATGAACTGCCACTTCACATATATAGTATCAAAGGTACTCCCTTTACTAAGTACTTTCTTTAGGGAAAAAAAAAAAAAAAGGAGTTGAGAAATATTTAAGTTACAAATTTGGGTTCAATGCTGGCATGGTGGTTAGTTGAGTCATTTGAATCAAAATTTGGCATTTTGCATAAATGAAGAAAACTTATAGAAGTTGGGAATATACTGTTGGTCCATTTGTTCTGACCAACTAATCCAGCTTTAATAAAGTTGACTTCAATTTGGACCACTTATTTCTCTTCCTAGTTTTGAATAATGTTTTGTTACAATTGTGAATAAAAATTTGATTTTAAGGGGGGGAAAAATCCCACCTTGCACTACTGGTCCTTAACCCAATGATTTGGTTTCCAAACTTCAATATATTGGTATCATAACCAATCTTTGACAAAAAAAAATCATCTGATATTTATTAAATCATCACGTGACTCTCACATATTCTTCATAAAAAGGGGAATAAGTAATGGGTTTCAAACATTTTTTTTTTCTAATTTAAGGATTGCTCGTCTTAACAAAGTGTCAAAAGTTCTTTAGAGCTTGCACTTATGCCTATTAGACGATCTAAAGAATGGCTATGTATATCATTCAAGATATGAGAGCGTACTGAGTGCTTTATAATTGAATCAAAACTAAATAATTTCTAAATTACGTGTATGTATTATATTTCTCTCTGTTTTTATATACACATTTAGCAAAAAAAATAAAAAAAAATTATCCTTGAAATCCACTTGGACAATGCACTTAATTCCCACCCACAATAGTTTTGCCTTTATCCCCATTTTCAACCTAGTCTTTCATCTTCTTTTTAGTTTTCCTATTGTACAATCTCTTATTGTCTCCCATTTTTTTGACCAATATAAAGCACAATAGTTAAAAGAACATGGTCGTTGTATATGACTAACTTAGGATCCCTTCTTCGTTACCTCTATGCTCCTTTTACCTACCCTCTTATTAATTTCTTAAATAACTCCAAACATGTTTATCATGAACTAATCCTCGTTAAAATTATTAAAAAATTGTTAAGGTTAAGTACGAAAATATGTTCTAAATTTTATAAGTAACATTTCTTTAATTTATCATACATAGTGAGTTACTATTTTGTAGATTTAGAAGATAACTATGTAAATTCAGTATAAAAAATATATACTCTCGAATGTCCTTTTCTTTAATGTCGTGTTCGATATAGATTTTTTGAGAATAAATTATGTTAAAAGTGATATTATTATTAGTGAAAGATTATGAGCCCACAATCAAAAATAATTTCTTGAAAAAAATAAGTTTGAAAAAAAATGTAACAAACATCAACTTCTTATGTAGACGTATTTGGTTAATTACTATAAGAAAGGATGAATATTTGACACGTTTCTTTTCTCTTATTTTCATTGAGTCAAAAGGTGTGGATTGGTACTTTTTGGATTTAATTTGAAATATGAGTTTCAAGTTGAAGTTCTTTAGATCCTTTCATCTTTACCCTTAAGTTAAGGCAAAGTAAACCCCCATTAATATGGTTGGTTATTCACGTTTCACATCCCATCTCTTCACCTAATAGTACAATTTTGTATGTACAACTCTTGAAAGATATAGTACAATTTCCTCAAAGAAAAATTAAGCTCCCGTTTGTTTCTATTTTTTGAAAGAATGAGAATGAAAAATATAGTCGTTATGAGTCTCAATTTGATGGCTTGATGTGATGAATAACGATCATATTTTTAATTTTAATGAGAAAAAAATGAGAACCAAACAGGGACTAATTCTCGTGCATGACCCACATTTCAAGTGATACTCTCTCAATCTATGGTAGGCAAAAGGTTGAACAAAATGAACGCTCACTTATAATTTGGTTCCAAAGCAACACAAAGAAAATTCACCATCTCAAGATTACAAAACAAGGGAAAGCCCATCATCATCATCATCATATGTATCAAGTAAGTAAATTAAAGCATAATTTTCCATGCTCATTGAAACCCTCAGTTGATTTGCAGTATTAAATCTAAGGGTGAATAAAAGAATCAAAATTAATTATAGATTTTAAATGATTTTGACACTCGAACAAGGAAGCATCCGATTTTGATTCTATTTCGATCATATTTCCTACAAACCAAGAATTAAGAAACAGTACTATTCCATTTTCTTTTCTCGTTACATATTAAAACTAGTACGCATACACACAATAAGCTCAATCCAAAAGCAACCTACAAAACTCTACAAATTTCAGAACCTTTAACTTTGCCTTCAAAATTTTGTTGCATCGAACGAGGCTGCTTGTCTAGTTTGAGTATTTCGGTGATGAAACCGAACCAAATTATAATCATTTGGTTCTGTTCTAGTTCGATTCCATTATAAAAATGACTAATTATTGGCACGGTTATTTATAGAATTGAATTGATCTAACCATGTCCAACCATAATCTTGACAATTTTTTTCCATCTACGACTTTGGACGGTGTCTTAAATTATCTCACTATTAATTGTATGTCTAACACTTTATTTTAAATCGTAGCCGACAATATAATGAATAAATTTGTAACTTTTTTTTTCTAAAATAATTTACAATTTGTATCCGCTCTGCTAAACAAAACAAACCAAAGGAGCAATTTTAACGGTGAACTTAGGCTGGGTTCCTGTATGGTACAAAAAAACATTGATGGACCACATCAAAAGATTAATTAAATATCTTGTCCCCAAAATTTGGCCCCAAATCTTTTCTACTTTCTCTTTTCATCCCCAGTATGTCTCTCTCTTTTCCAAATACACCTTGCCGTTACCGTTAACTCAGCTCTCCACCATAGCCTCATAGCCGTTGTTGTCAACAACTCCGCCGTTAACATTAGGTTCATTTTCACCTTCTTCCTCAGCCCACCTCTCGACGGGTGAGCACTCCACCTTGTGGCGCAATTTCCAGTCCAGCGCCTGGCAAGCACGTGAGCAATAATTCACGGCTCCGCATGCAGAACACCGCCGAAATTCATGACGTCTGGTCTCGGGTCGCCCGCAGCCCGAATGAGAACACAAACGGAGTCCTGGGCGCGAGTTTCCACCCCGAATTGAAAACCATTCTGATAAGAAACGGCTGGCCGGGTGAGGTTCCGGCGCCGGAATATTACATCCAAAATCACTCAACAAAGGGCAACCAGCGCCAATCAGGTGGCGGTGATGGTCAACAGGGTTCCATGTCAGCCACGAGCCAGAGGCCGGAGCCGCTGATGGTGTCGCGGCTAAAACGGCGGCTAATTCACGGGCGTTGGCCTGAACAAGAAATCTGCGTCCTTCCGCTATGTTTTGCTTGACTCCGTAACCGTCTTGAAGGCAGTGGCCAAGTTCTCTCAGGGAGTCAATATGCCCCAGGAAGGCTGCCCGTGCACACAACGCCACACCGGCGCGGAGGTCCTTGTCGTTCTTTGAGCCACCACTGCCGTTGAACTGGATAACGGCTAGAGAGTAAAGAGCGGGCGCGTGAGAGCTAATCGCCGCCTTTGCCATCAAAGACGCTCCGCTTCCTCGATTTTGCAAACAGTAGAATCGAATCTGTGTCCAACAATACAATTTAATCTCAGTGAATATTATGAATCGTTTTTCCATTAAACGCAATATTTCCCCAAAAAAAAAAAAAACAAAAGGAAAAATCATTAAATTAAATGCTTGTTTTATATTTACCATGCCAAGAGTGTAACAGGCTTCAGCATTCCCGGAATCGGCACAGAATTTGAGGAATCGGTGAGCCGACTCGGACCAGTTTTTGGCTTTCACTGCTAACATTTTCTGAGAAGCTTTGGATAAAACCAGCGAATGGAGACCTAATCCATTTAATCTTTTGCATCTGTTCATTGAAAAATTCAACCCAGTAAATTCAATGATAAAAGCTCACAAATCAATGGTAAAAATCATTTCTTTGTCCAAAAACAAATCAAATGATAGAAATTCATACGTTATCAAAACGTTGGTGAAATCAGTGGGGGATCCAGCGGTGGAACTGAGCTTGCACAAAATCGAAAGGACGAGATCGTCCGGCAAGACATCGAAGAAATCATACTTTCCGGCAATCTCCGGCGAGACCTTTAATCTTTTCTGGCAACCCATTTGTTCTCTACCGAACTCAACTGCTCTCTTTACCGTTCTATTATCGTTTTCCCTACACATATGCACTTTGGGATAACACTGCCCTCTCCTTGTTCTCATCCCTCACTTTATCCCTCTTCTTTTTCTTTTTATCTCCCAGGAGACGAAGAGAAGTTGAATCTTTATATATAAGGGAGAGGGAAGTGAAAAGAAGGAAACATTACAATAACAACGACATAGCCGAACAAATTAAATAATTAAATAAAAATCAGATATACGAATTTACAATATTACCCTCTCTTTTGTCTTTATTAGTCCATAGAACATGGTCAAACGGCGTTGACCAGATCCCCACCACGTACCCCTCTCTTTCCAACTGAAACACGACGTCGTTTCTTATTTCGCTCGCCCAACTAATTTATCACGAATGGGTTGTCATCTATATTTATCTTATTCTCTTCCAAATCGGAACATACTCACATCAAACACGCTCCTAAGAATATTTAAATTGCTATGTGAAAGTGCTATCAAATCGATTTTGTTGAGTCAAATTCTCTCCCTCCCTAGATTTATTTGAAGGCGGTTAGTTTGGTTATAAATGAGCAACCAACGTTAGTTAATCTTAATATGGAATCAGAACACTTGAAATGAAATACAGTACTTTCTCTTTAATTTTGATGAGTTTGTTTTAAATGCAGTTGATTTGGTTGCGTTTGAGCTACTAAATTTAGTTAGTATTAAAATAGAATTTGAAGGCAATTAAGTAATTTGTCTCCAATTTTCATGGGTTTGTTTTAAAATCAGTTAATTTTATTGAAAGTCAACAACCAATTTATGCTAGTAACAAAATTCTTAATTTTAATGCAATACTGCAATTTTCTCTAATTTTGATAGATTTGTTTTAAAAGAAGTTGATCATATTGTAAGTGAGCAACTACTTTCAATTAGTATCGAGATAAAATTTGAATGCAATATCGTAACTTCTCTCTAATTTTGATAGGTCGTTCGAAAAGTAGTTAATTTTTTCTTTTTAACTTATAAGTTAGCAACTAACTTCGGTTAGTATCGAAATAGAATTTGAATGTGATAGAGTAATTCCTCTCTAATTTTACATGTTTAGTTATAAAGGAAGTTAATTTTACGGTGAGTGAGTAACTAACTTCGATTAGTATGGAGATAGAATTTAAACACAATGGAATTTAAACACAATGCACTAATTTCGGATTACCGGTTTAGAATCGGTTAAAAATGCTGTATGGAGCAACTGAATTTAGTTAATCGGGTGATTAAAATTAGTAAAAAACTATGAATGTTGCGTAACGTAACGCGTTGTTTGTGAGAGTGGGGATAGTTTTGTACTAAACAGGTTTTAGGTGGCAAATTCCGGGCTTGTCTTGGATGACCAAACCACCGGAGGTCAAAGCTGTGATTCAGCACTGACAGAGATCAGTTACTGTTGTTTGTTTTTACTAGCCATTTTTATGCATAAATTGTGGTTCCCATTTTACCCTTTTGTTTGGCTTTTTCAGCTGATTCCAGGCACAAAACAACTTCGGTAACAGATGAATTGCCAATACATAACCTAATCAAAAGTAAATGCAAAGTGAGTATTCTCTTGTGCTCAAATTTTGATGTGGCGCGAGATAAGGTTTTGATGATCTGATGATATAATGTTGATCCAACGATCATATAGCATAGAGTTTGATATATGACGATACACCTCATTGAAGGTGTCGAGATAAACACACTATATTGCAGATTGTCAGTAGAAAGATTTTTATATGTGGTTGCACATTTGCACACCAAAATGGTTGTTAAGTACATAATCTTTCCGTCGCAAATTTTAATAAATGATTACCGACATCTTGTGTTGCCCTTGAAATCCGTATATGATGCATGGCCAACATATCGCAACTCCTATCTCATTCACATGTATGTTACATGCATATTTGGACAACCACGTTAGACTGCTCGTGACCATTGTTCCGACTAGGTGCTATGGTCGACGAATATTTTGACGCTTGAAGAAAACGATGAATGTATTATGGGTGTGGAAGAGGCACAGTGGACACGAATTTCAGTGTTAGGATTGAGGAGAGAATGCCGAATTTGCATCATGTGAATATTAATTCACATTGGGAAGGCACGAGTGTGAGCTTTTATATCAATAGAAAAGAAGTGATGTCCATTAAATGTTTGACACGTGACCTTATATTAACAGCTCATTAGTTAAAAAGTGTCAATTTTGGTTGTCATGGATTTGTGGTTGCCTAACATAAGTTGAAAAGCAACCATCCTATGTCATAAAATTAATTTGAAAAGTATACTGAAAATTTTAATAAGAGTATCGACTGCAGGCCATCAAATTTATTAGATATATAGAGTAACTTTTGAACAAAGTGATGTTTGCAAAAAATGTCATTAGCCTATCACCTCGAAAATATGCTACAGCAGGAGGTGGTATCTCACTTTGAAAGTACAACTTCGGGAGTCAGCGATACCATCTCGGAAGGGCCACTTCGAAAGAAATGATATCATGTCGAAGATGTGCTTAGACACCTCTCCCAATTGCCCAACCATCTTGGAGAGATGTGAAGAAGCAACGTGAGATGAAGCATGGACCTTTCGTGACCTCTTGCTTCATCTTTGCTTAGCTGATTGTTATGTAGTTTGCCTCATAGGATGAGGCGTAACACCTTATTAATAAGGGAAATTCTAAAATATACAGCACTAAGTGTTGTACATTTTTATAGTCTCCTGATCGTGGGGCCTCCTCATGTGAGGAGCAGTACACCTTGTGTACAGCAAGTGCAAACCTATTAATGATAGTGTGATTTCAAATTTCGAGAAGTGACTACCTATCCAGAGACAAATTTAGGGGGATATCCGACTTTTTTACGTGAAAATTTTTTGTGTACCTAGATTTTCTTAAAAAAGAATTAGTCTAGCGTATTTTTTTTTTGTCCAATCATGACTTCCGTCCCTAGAACTTATCTAGAGAATAGGATCTTCCTAACTCTTCATTTGACACACAAAATTATAGATGGTGCCATTAGATTTAACAAATTCCACGAGTGCTGTAATTTTTATCTTGTAAACAATAATAACCTAATATAAACAATGAAGTAGAATTGCTCTCACATAATCCGTAATTGAATTATTATTTGTGTTTAGTTAAAGAAAATTACATATTGACCGTTGTTACTTGTTAGCATATGGAAGCAATTCTTGCAGGCATTGCATTAAATAGAAATTACAGAAAACATTTGATGAATATGAAATTATTGCCGTATTAATTAAATAAATTGAAAAATCCAAGAGCCAGTAAACTAGTTTGTCATCAACAAATTCTTAATCAAATTCGGCTGAGGTTGTTTAGTTTATTTTCTCGATAAAACTATCATTTGGGAATTGTATTTTGACTAGTCAAAGAAAATTTCTTACGTAATTTGGAATTACTTTTCAAGAAAGTAAATTTAGTCTTACTTTTAAAAAAATAAGCTTTGTTAGTAGAAAACTAATTCTAGAAATCATTTTCAAGGAAATAAGTAATTTCAAGGTATGTTTAAGTTTGAATTTACTTTCATGCACAATCAAAGTAGAGGCATAATAGAATGGATTAGTGGTATAATTAAGGTCAAAGCTTTCACTTTCTAAGAGGAATGCAGAATAGTCCCCAAAAAATTAAAAAATTAAAAATAAAACAAAAATCTTAATTCATTATAGCAGTAGCGTGTTTTACGTAAAACGCCGCTCCGATGTCACGTCGCCGGTTAAATTAACAATTTTGGTCACGTCAACTTAGAGACGTGCCGGAAAGTACATAGAATACCATTTGTTTTCTTCAAACAATCATTTGAATATATATAAATTATTTGACAAGCATTATTTAAAATTTCTTTTTTCTACGTACTCATTTTTAATTATACATTCGCAAAATAAAATATTTTACACGTAAATTCAACATTTTTCCTTACTTTTGAACCACATATCCTTCTAAAAATCACTATTCAAAATATTATTTTGATCAAATAATGACCATTAACACATTTGCTTAATTGAAGATAATTCTCTTCATTGATCGAAAAGAAATCAACATATTCTAGTTTTCATTTTCAAAATAGGAGTTCCACTGCACTCCTGTCTTCTCTCGTTTTCTCTCATCGAGAAATTAATTCTCATGAGATCTATACATGTTGAATAATAGTATTACGTAATCAAATGGTTCAATTATGGTGGTTCTTGATATTTGAATTAAATTTCTTATTTGTTAATGAATTAATATGACTTTGTTCTCGGTGTTTAGTAGACTATTACTATAACTTATTTACTTAGAAAGGTTATACGACTTCCATATATATTACTAACCCAACAAGCTTGATTTTAAATAATAATAATAATAATAAATAAATAGTGGAAAGGAGTGAATAAGGCCTGGACAAGGCGGAGATGACGTGATTCTGAAGGTTGCTGATTTCGACCACTCATGTCAAGCCACATGGGACCTACATGTCTCTAAGAACCATATCTGAAGAAGCAACTTGTATAGATTATTTCTCGGTGGGACCCTTTCTATCCTGTGCAAAAATGTACACTTTTTTATGCACCAAATAAAAGGGCAAAATAAAAGGGGCTTTTTTTTTTTTCTTTTTTTTTCTGAATCAAGCAAGACAATCGACTAATATCTCGTATCATAAAATAAGACCTAAAGCCTACTATCATAAAATAGGACCTAAAGATATTATTACATATAATTATAATTTATTTTTCTATTACTTCTTATCAGCTACACTTTTTTCGATAAAATAATATGACACGTAAATTCAAAAATATTTTTTTTTAATTACATATCTTTCAAAAAATTAATATTCCTCTCATTATAACATTGAACAAGGGGACCAAACAAGCGCTAATTTGATTAAAGTTATAAAAACTCTGTCGAAATCATTTTCTATAACGGTCGGCATTAACAATAATTCTTCATATTAATATGATTTTGACATTATTAATCTTATTATTTACAAATTCCTTAATAATTTAGTGGTGTTGACAACGTTCATATATGTTGAGATAACTATCAAATAACTTAAGCATCTTAATTAGTTTAGGTAGTTGGGTTCCCTTAGCTTAAAGGGAGGGGAGTTGCAATATACATTTCTAACATGTCACGCTCTCCAACGAGTCAAAAATGTAGACTTTTTTGTTTTTCGGCTAACCCT